GTTTTCTTTGAGTATTAATCATCCATGACCAGCACGAAGGATTGTCAAAAAATATTTTACTTATATTAGGATGTATAAACTAATGTGATAAGATTGACAACGGGTATCTACTCAATGTAATATTTGTAATATTTTGATAAAACAAGACGACAGCTGGCAAAATGACATCATACCTCTTGATGCTTTACAGGTCACGTGATCTAATATAACCAACAGAAGATCTACGCTATCTTGCGCCAGCAAGACCGCCCATAATTAGGCCGCAGTGCGCACTTCATTTGCCTGTTTGATAACATGGAGAGGGGACACTCATTCTTGGTATTCTGCAGTCATTAAAGCACCGTAACCCAAACTGATCTATAAGAACAGCGAGCTCTTGTGAAGCAGTACCACCACACGACCCACTCCTAAGCTGTGCTCGTCGCCAGTAAGAGACTGATGTACAAGACTCGCAAGAAACTCGAGTGGTCTGCGTGCTACTGGAAGTTACTTCCTTGTTACAATAGTCGATGAGACACATTGCTAAAAACTAATTTATTTACTCAAATTCGGAATTCAACAGCAAGTCAGCTGGAGTCTGGAGTAAAATACAGTAGTTCATTTGCGAATAACAGCATTCGTCATGCCAAGTTGCTAGATTTGTACGTATTAGGACAAGTAGTCATTCATGCCCAATTTAGTAGGCCAAGCTGTAATGTTTGTGTTAATTAACGACCGTCGTGGACTAGCACCACGAGGTTGATGTCCGTCTTGACAGGAGACAAAACGGAACCGGATGTTCACTGCGCATAGAAATCCCCTCAACGTTACAAATAAGCCACTGTCTGAGGAACTGCCATGAAATCTTCAAGTGACTGATGACAATGGTGGTGTTTAGGGCAATGTGCACGACTGGTACGTTCCTGCCTGAGCTGACTGCGGTTGTCAACAGTTAACACGTGCGATATAATGTGACATTTCTAAGTGTTGGAAACTATTGTTTAACATTTATTGGATGGACCGGAGTGCTTATTCAGGGCAAACTTGGTTGACTCCCATACACTACACGGTAGCCTGCATCATTTGTCAACGTGAGATCGACTATGTATTTCTATTTTGTGTCAGACGTGACATTCTCATTGCAGTATTCTCTGATAAACGAGCGCAGAGATTTTTGCATAACTGTCTGTGAAGGCTATGTGCCCCCCCCCCTTCTGTGGAGGGGTAAGTTTTGAGAGCTTTCATTGGAGCATTTGTTTTTGGCAGTTTTCACAATATATCACTTACCAAGTTTACGAAAATACATACCTGGAGAGGGTTCTGGGAGGAATAGTTCTCTCCGAGCTCGGCCTGAGGCCAGGCTCGACTTGCAATAACTCTGTCCAACAGGCTGTTGCTTGGAGCGACCCGCAGATCCAGATATCCACTACAGCTTGGTTGGTTCGGCACTTCTTGCAAGAAATTATCTAAGTTTTATTTATATATACTGTATATATAAAATAAATAAACGGCCAGGGAGCAGAGAATGTTCTGGCCTCAACAAGCAGCTGAAAGAAATCTAGCCAGTCGCCGTTTCGCAACTCATAGCACTTGCTGAAACCTGAACCCAGCTTCTGCAGCGACGGCGCCTCCTACGTATACAGCGTGGAGCCATGGTACTCAACCCTCTGTATAATACAGTGTACGACCACATCCTCCACCGCCTGTCATACATTCAGTTTACCCTTCATAATGAATCCCTCATATATACTAGGGAAGTTACCTCACCCATTTACCTGAGGGCCACATTAGACCTTGACGGGGACAGGAAGCCAGTGGCTTGTTGAAGGTCCCCTCCTACCTTCCATTATTTCTGAGGATTTGTTTGTTGGATTTTGAGCAAAGCGCCGTCTTACCGTTTATACTTATGCGGGTACAGGGACATTCCATGCTAAATAAAAAAAAAGTGCACTTCTCAACCCGATCATCTAAGATTTTCATGAAATTTGATAGGATGGTAGAGAACATGAAGTTACATACATATGCAAAATTTTACTGCTAAGTGATGCACGATATTCGTACAGCACGGTGCTAACGCATAAAAATACAACATTTTTGCTTAGAAGCTTAATCAAAAAAAGCTAGAACTTTGCTTTTAACTGAGGAAGAACCTTCATATTGTGCTTGTTTTGAAGTTAAGGAAGCATTGCTTTCGTTAAAAATAGCAGCCTGTCTTCATCAACAAAGGCCATGTGCTCGTTAATGCAGCCGCCAAATAATGTTTATGGAGGAAAAACGGTTTACACAAGATATTTGTGAAATTTAAGGGGTTGTAGGTCTACCTGACTTCTTTGTTTGTTTGTTTTGAGGGAGTTATAGTTTTTACTTTACTACAGGAAAAGGCAAAGGTAGACAACTAGTAGACGACAAAGATAATTAGTCAACAATAATTAACCTAACAAGAGAGTTTAATCTCAAAGCCATAGAGTACTGTTGCATTATGGGTAATGAAAGGAGTTTAGAGAGCAATCCTGAAATCTGCCGATGTATTCACCTAGATGTGCTTGGGGGGGGGGGGGGGGGGTTGAGCTCTGCTCTTTCGGACCGTCTCTCAACTGTCAATCAACTGTTACTAACTACTAATTTTTATTTGTTATTTTCTCTCTCACACACACACAGAAAATTAGTAGTAGTTAGAACGAGGGGACATGGATGGAAGCTTGAAACTCAGACGAGTCACAGATGTTAGGAAGTTTTCTTTTAGCGTGAGAGTAGTGGGAAAATGGAATGCACTTCAGGAACAGGTTGTGGAAGCAAATACTATTCATAATTTTAAAACCAGGTATTACAGGGAAATGGGACAGGAGTCATTGCTGTAAACAACCGATGCTCGAAAGGCGGGATCCAAGAGTCAATGCTTGACCCTGCAGACACAACTAGGTGACAACTAGGTGAGTACACACACACACACACACACTTTGAAGAACGGAAGAACTTTGTAGCACATCAGCATGGGTTCAGAGATGGCAAATCATGCCTAACAAATTTAATTGAGTTCTATGACCAGGCAACAAAAATCAGGCAAGAGAGAGGGCTAGGCAGACTGCATATTTCTGAAGTGCCAGAAAGCTTTTGACACAGTATCACATAAGAGACTAGTGTACAAACTGCAGTTGCAGGCAAGAGTGAAAGAGAAGGTACTCCACTGGATAAGGGAGTACCTAAGCAACAGGACACAGCAAGTCACCGTGAAGGGTGAGGTCTCGGAGTGGCAGGGAGTCACCAGTGGAATCCCACAGGGATCAGTCCTTGGACCTATACTGTTTTTGATATACGTAAATGATCTCCCAGAAGGCATTGACAACCCCACACACACACACACACTTTTTAACACAAGAGGCACACGCACTAGGGGACACAGGTGGAAATTGAGTGCCCAAATGAGCCATAGAGACGTTAGAAAGAATTTTTTCAGTGTCAGAGTAGTAGACAAATGGAATGCATTAGGAAGTGATGTGGTGGACGCTGACTCCATACACAGCTTTAAGTGTACATGTAGATATGATAGAGTACAGTAGGATCAGGAACCTGTACATTAGTTGATTGACCATTGAGAGGCGGGACCAAAGAGCCAGAGCTCAACCCCTGCAAGCACAATTAGGCGAGAACACACAGGAAGCAGCCCGTAACAGCTGTAACTCCCAGGTACCTATTTACTGCTAAGTAACAGGAGCATCAGAGTGAAAGAAACTCTGCCCATTTTGTTTCTGCCATCACCGGGGATCGAACCCTGGACCCTAGGATTACGAGTCCAGAGCGCTGTCAACTCAGCTATCAGGCCCCCCAGGATATGTATATATTTGTGCAAATGAGATGTGGAAATTTGTGCAAATGATATGTACATGTATATATAACATTAAATAATAATTGTGTAACTAGCTTCAAAAGATTGTTACTTGCTTAGCTAAACGAACTATGGGGTTCAGTTCCTGAACCAATTACAGTATCTGCCTCTAATCCTTTCCACCACCGCCCATGGGATGGGTATGGGCTGCTTAAAATAAAGAAAAATTGAATTGTCATGTTTTCAGTATACAATACTAAAGCCAAGTACATGTACATATTTTCAAAAGAATTGAAAATGCCACTAATACATGTCAAACACTTCATACTACCTTGCATAATATCATGTCTTAAAGGCAAGTGGTAGCTAAGAAGTCACTGAACATTGGAATATCTAGTACTTTTGTCCAACATCCCCAAATTCTTCTCTCTGAATACCCATTGGGTAGAACATCTTGGGAACAAGTCTTGTTCTAAGAAAATTGCCTAATAGTATAGAAACAAAAGTGGTTATAAATACTTAATATACAAGGTTATACTGAGAAAATTTCCTTACAAATGAGTGATGTCTCGCCGTCTTGAGATGGCCATTAGGGTGTCCAAGAGACTTGACTTGGCAATAAAACACTGGGCAGCAATTTTTTTCTATCAATATCAGTTTGGGTATTTAATATTCAGCATACATTTCAGTGTCATTTTATAGATTATATAATAATGTTTCTTTTTCCAATTCAAACAATGTTCTGAAATCAATCCTAAACCTAATATAATTATTCCTAGTTCACCAAGAACCTCAATAACTTTCTTAAATTCATGTAAGAACATCAGTGTCATGTACTTTTACAACTCAATGTACCTTCTTGTATATAAACAACAAAAATGCAGGTAAAAAAAAAAAGATCGACTTAATAGTTACTGAAATCCGAGGAAAACTTTACAAAAACTGTAATACAAACTATGTTTCTCGCCAAATAAAAAAAAATTATGTTATACATGAGTAACAGATGTGAGTTAGAGCCGTGAAACACTTGTACGGGTGAGGGTAAAGCCCAGCTTGGGCAAGTATAGAGGCATAGAAGCAAGCTTCACGAGATTTTAATATTATTTATAGAGAAAAGCGTTATTCGTGAATATCAAAATTGCAAATTAATATTTCCCAATAACACTAGCCTATTACATATCTAAAGAAAAGTACTCACTGAGTTTGAGGACAAGTTCACGTCAGTCTCTTATTAAAATCCGGGAAGGCTTGAGCAACACTCCCCCTCGCCTCACTACCCGTTCTCGACTGAGCGTAATAAATTCCCTGAAGCGCAAGTGCCGACCAGATCCCCGAGTTTAGACAAAAGAGAATCAGATGTGTATACGTTCTGAATAATAAACATCTTCTGAACTTTTAATATTTATGTACATTACTGCTCGCACCTGCTTATATTTTCTTGCGTACCTTATAGTCCTGCCTTAATGTAAACAGTATTATTTCGTCTACATGTTAATATTACAATGATTTCTTCAAGAAATAAACTTAACATTGTTGTTATTATTCTGCCTTAATCATGAGGTAAGATCAATGGCGACAAGGGAGGGAGAGGAGACATCATAGAGGCGAGCAGACAGGGAATGCGACTGCGCCCGTCAGCAGGCAGCAGACGGGTAGCTAAAACTGGAGGGGCGGTCGCATGCTCCCCGGCGGCTCCTTATTTACAGGTCACCAACTGCTCAACACCGGCAGTGACAGGTATTGTGTATGGTCGTCTGCTGCCGCGCTCACCTCTATCTCCAGTTTATCGTTCTCTAAACCTTTATTCCTACGTCCTTGTAGTTTTGTTATTGGATAGCATTTGGGTGACCAAACTGGTCATGTGTCGATGTCGGGTTTAATGACCAGCAGAGCGACAAGTCTGGAGGAATGTGGTTGAGTCTGCTCTGTATGAGCTCCATGTATTGTGGCATTGTCTCTTAGGCCAATAAATACATTATACATTTACTTCCACTTGGATGTATTTAGTTAAGTATATCTTAAATCGAATGGAATTAATGACATTTAAGGTCTTACATCTGTGTATCTACATTGTCTCCCTGGCTTGGTACATTCTTTTGATAATGACTTGTGTCTGCGTTTGGTATAGGGATAGTACAAATAGCATGATTTTATTATATCAACTTCAGTTTAACATTAAACTAATTTCTGTAGTTTAACACTGATACTCATTGGGCAATGATTTTACAAATTGATGGTTATTTAAACTATTGAGTTCTGTTGCCTTTTAATGTAGGCCTTAAAATATTATTAATTGGATTCTTTGTTTGTATTTGTTAACAGTGGATGAATTTGGCACAAGCTAAATCATTAATTGAATTCAGAAAATGTGAGTGTATTTTAACAGTAGCTAATATTAAAGCAGTTAATGTAATCAATATTGAAAAGTGAAAATTTAAAGATGTTGGTCAGGGAACATAATGACAAATTGAACTGTCTCATTAAAATAAGTGTTGATAAATTGAACCTGGATATTTACAAAGCATGGAGATGGCATCTTCAAAAGTATGTATCTGCCTTGGAGAAAGTACAGAGTAGAGTGACATAAATCATCAAAGAACTGAGTGAACTCATAATACTAGGAAAGACTGAGGGCCACAGGACTAACAACACTGCAAACCAGACATGACAGGGGCAGATCTTATTGAAACTTAAAATACTGAAAAAATGGTGGATATTAATCCAGACCACTTCTTTAAAAGGTCACATGCAACACATACAGGAGGCAACAGCTTCAAACTCAACATGTCACAATGTAAGACAGAAAACAGGTCTCGGTAGTACAGTCGAGTTTGTTCTCAACTCATAACTGGGAAATCCAGATTCAAATCCCAGGTGGGACAAAAATGGTTGGACACAAATTACCTAAAGATTTAAATTACCAAATTTAAGGGACTAAATTACAGAAGAGGAAAATATGACGAGATGAGGAACTTCCTCAGGGGAATACCATGGGAAACAGAACTTAGAGACAAGAATGTGCAGGACATGATGGATTTTGTCACCCAGAAGTGCCTGGAAGCTGCAGACAGGTTTATCCCTGTCCAAAAGGAGAAAAACTAAAAACAACAGAAAAACCCTTGGTTCAACCAGGAATGCAAGGTAGCGAAGCAAATGAGTAAAAGAACATGGAGAAACTACAGAAATAATAGAACACTGGAGAACAAGGAGAGATACCAGAGGGCCAGAAATGAGTACCTCAGAGTGAGGAGGGAAGCAGAGAGACAGTTTGAAAATGACATAGCGAGTAAAGTCAAGACCCAATCAAATCTGCTCCACAGCCACATCAGGAGGAAAACAGCAGTGAAGGAACAAGTGATGAAACTGAGAAAAGGGGAGAACAGATACAGAGAATGACAAGGAGGCGTGTGAAGAACTCAACAAGAGATTCCAGGAGGTCTTCACAATAGAACAAGGAGAAGCCCCTGCACTAAATGAGGAGGCAAACCAAGCAACCTTGGAGGAATTTGACCTCACCAGTGATGAGGTCAAAAGGTGTCTACTGGAGCTGGATGTGACAAAGGCTGTTGGGCTTGACAGAATCTCACCATGGATACTAAAGGAAGGTGTAGAAGCACTAAGTGTGCCACTCTCTATGGTGTATAACAGGTCACTGGAAACAGGAGACTTACCAGAAAGTTGGAAGACAGCTAATGTAGTCCCAATATACAAGAAGGGCGACAGGCAAGAGGCACTGAACTACAGGCCAGTTTCCCAAACTTGTATACCATGCAAGGTGATGGAGAAGATCGTGAGGAAAAGGCTCGTAGAGCATCTGGAGGGAAATAACTTTGTAATGCACCACCAACATGGGTTCAGGGATGGTAAATCGTGCCTCAGAGGTTTAATAGAATTCTATGATCAGGCAACAAAAATTAGGCAGAAAAGAGAAGGATGGGTCGATTGCATTTTCCTGGACTGCCAGAAAGCTTTTGACACAGTACCCCATAAAAGGCTGTTAAAAAAGTTGGAGCAACAGGCAGGAGTAAAAGGGAAGGTGCTCCAGTGGATAAGGGAGTACTTAAGCAACAGGAAACAGCGAGTAACGGTGAGGGGAAAGACATCAGAGTGGCGAGATGTCACCAGCGGAGTCCCACAGGGCTCAGTACTTGGACCCATCCTGTTTCTAATATATGTAAACGATCTTCCGGAGGGTATAGACTCGTTCCTCTCAATGTTTGCTGATGATGAAAAATTATGAGAAGAATCAAGACGGATGAAGATAGACAGAGACTACAGGATGACCTGGACAAACTGGAGGAATGGTCTAGAAAATGGCTGCTAAAGTTCAACTCAGGAAAGTGTAAGGTAATGAAATTAGGAGAAGGGAGCAGGAGGCTGAACACAAGGTATCATCTAGGAGGTGAAATCCTGCAAGAGTCAAATAGAGAGAAAGATCTGGATCTAAGAAAGATCTAAAAAAAGCAAATTTTTGTATAATTTTTTTAAATACTGTACAAAATTTCATAACAAAACGAAGCATGATTGAAAATACAGGTATTGCTGTAATTTGTCACGTTTAACAAAATTAATTTTCATAGCAAGTACTGTTAATGTACAGTTTAAGTTCACAGAATATCTTCTCCCAAAAGATATTTTTTATCAAACTAGAAATGCTGTGCAAACCACAAACATGTCAGTTGGGGTTAGAGATTATTTAACACTATTTCATTTATGGTCTTTACATTAGCATTTGCATATAATGGCTATTTTTATTCAGTACAGTATTATGTTTTAAATTTATTTTTTCAGATAAAGATACAGGATGCTACGATCTTTGTATGCCTATAAAGGGACCCATGCCCGTACCCTTGGATTCCAAGTGGGTGAGAAGTTTCTTGAAATTGGTCCTTCCAGAGATCCAAACTGGATACATGTTATTAGCGAGAGAGGTTCAGTAGGATATGTTCCCAAGAACTATATTACCGATGAAGAGGTAAGTTAAAATAAAAATAAAAATATGTTGAATATGTTTTAATAGTTTGTTTTAATGAGGGACTGCACAGAATTGCATGTCAAGAAAACTTTGAATTTAATATAATAATATTGGAATACATTGGAACATCTTAAGAATAGGCTATAGTGCATTCCAAACTTAATCTGGATTTGAGAGGCATCCAAATATCAAGATATTTTGGAATTTGTTTGTCAGCAAATGATATGAAATGTCTTTGTACATATTTAAACAAATAATATTTTGGAGTTTTGTTATACAGTATAGCAATACAACCCATAAAAACTGTACTTTTACTTGCCTTAACCCTTTGGCTGTCACAATGAGTCACAATAACGTAGCTGAAGATATGATGACCAAACCACACAGAAGATGGAGATATGACGACATTTTGGTCCCTCCTGGAGGGACCAAAATGGACCTAAATGACATACGACTTGATAATGGTCCAGGACAAACCGAAACGTCGTCGTTTCTCCTTCTTCTGATGTGTGGTTTGGTCATCATAGTCAATTCATGAAAAGTTGCCTTAGACTGCAGTAAGCAACCTGAGTTTACATATCTAGAGAAATTTCCAAATGTGTAGTTTTCAACCAGGTCCTTTGTTCTTAAAAACAGACCCATAGACCTGGTAAATGCTACCAGAATTTGAATGCAGAATCAAATACTACCACATGTAGTAGTAGTGCCCAAAATCTGCAATTATGCTGCATCTGAACCACTGCACCTGCATCTGGCATCTACAGTATTTCTATAATTTGTTTTTTGTTAACTCAGTTATGGTACAGTATGTTTTGTAATTTAGTAATGTATTTACTAAAAAAGTTATATAATTCCGATATTCTATACATTTAAAGCACGTATGGCCAGATATTGAGTTGCTTAAGCCAATTTTTCCAATTATATTAAGATTAAAACCAATATGTATATTAAAATTTGTTTGCTACTGTATCTAAATAAATTTTGTATTGAATTATCATGGTACAGTATTTATGGAAAGAGCACAATATGTTTGGATTATAAGTTAAATAAAAATACAGAAGAAAAAACAAAAGTCCCTCTGCCACCCAAAAAAATAAATTTGCTTATGATAATTTTTTTGTATTTATAATGGTGTCATGGGAACACACACCCTGGTTGTTTACTAGATATGTAATAAAATATGTTATATGTAGGACTGAGAACAGGAGATGCTTTTTCACCTACAGGGTTATTAATCCATGGAACTGCCTACCCGCTGAAGCAGTAACTGCCAAAACTGTGTTATTTTAAAATATACAGTACTTAGAAAAGATCATCAAGGCAAATGTGGGGGACCTTTGACAAGCCGCCGGCTTCCTATCCTCATCGAGGCCACTAGTGTTAGCTGCTCTCGGGTAAATCAGGTAAAAAATAAAATTTAAATATTTACCCTTGGAAAGGATAAGGCCCCCAAAAAATATCGCAGACAAAGGGTTAATGACGACAATCCATATACAGTACAGTACTGGAAAACAAGGTACTGTACTGTACATAACTGTATATTTACAGTACATGTACTTGTAAACTGCCAAGGAAGCAGCAAGTGGTCATCTGCCATTTACAATGAGAGGGGTTACATGAAGAATGTCTTCCATAGAAATGCTTGGATGCTGTTTCTTTGTATGCATGTGCTTCTTACTAGCATTTCTGGTTTCTTTTTGTGCTTATGTGCTGGTGGGTTCTAGATTTCCGGTGGGATTTCCAGATACAGTAATGTACTGTATATGAATTACAGGTTCCTCCTATTGAGATGTTGGAGTTCATTGATGGATGTATTGAAGCCACACATTTAAATGCAAGTGAATGTGGTGGGCATTATGCTAAAAGTGAACATGATGCTCTTCATAAATTAGTAGAATTGCGTCAAGAATGGTATGCCAAATGCACACCATCAGTTCATCCCAATAAGCGACATGCGCCACCTCCCCCACAAGTAAGTTTTACATTTTGAATTTACTATGAATATTGTATATGTATTCCTATTTTCAGTGTATAATGATTGTGATTAAATAGCAAATGTTAATCTGTTGAATGTTTTTTGCCTATGTTTAATAAGATTTAAGAAAGATGGGATGGATTAATTTTCCTTTTTCTTATACTGTAACTTAAACAATAACAAAAGGCCCCTCTAGATATTACTTTATTGATGAATCATGTTAACTTGACATGATTTATAATAATAATAATAATAATGAAGAGAAAATCAGTAGGAGCCATGAGGATAATATGAACCTGCACACTAGATACTACCAAGCACACGCCCTAAACTACTAGGCCACGATATTCTACAAAAGTAATGTAACCTGGGATTTTCCAGGATGTTTTTTTTTTTTAGGGCCAGATAGGCTTTCCTGTTATCTTTACAGTATTATGTGGTCTGCAAGATTCAGGGCTCTTTCACCCATAAGTATGTACTGTACTGTACTGTACTGACTTTTGCCACTGGTTTTGGTGAATCTGTCTTCTCAGATGGCTGCTACTCAGACTGCAGCTGCTTTGTGGGGCTGTTCTGTTTCAAGTTTTTGCAACTTCTGTTCGTGGCAGATGGTGCAAATGCTGATTCCAACTGTTTTGTGAGGAAGTTTCCAAGCATCTTATTTTGAACATGTGCTCCATATTAACTGGCTTCCTCTGCTGCATCTGCCTTGTCCAGTGGGCTGCCTATTTAGCAGGCTTTGGTTGGCCTTGACATCTCAAGTTTCTTCGTTGGTTTGTGCTCTTTTGTGGTTTCATGTTGCTAGCCAACAGGCACCAATGGGTAAGGGAGTGGCAGAAATGGAATTGTGTTCCTTTGGGTTATGATGGAGGCTAGAGGGCCTATGTAGCCCTGAATGCTTTACTTGTCTTTTTGGGATGGACCTAAGAAATTGACTTCACAGGGTTCTGGGGCTTCCATTGTTTACTACCTCTGCAGGATTGTCAGAGGATTATCTAAAGTTGCTTCATATGGATGTCTTTTATCCCCTGACTGAGGTTGACAATACTTCTGCTTCCCTATGGGTGCATTTCTGTTTCCATGTTTGTGTTGGTTTTGCATCTCATGTGCAGGTTTCCATTGTCTCGCCTTTGTGTGTGACTTTACAGGACTTGCTTCAGTACCTGCTGCATACTCATTTCCCCTTGAGACTGAAGTGTTCTATCCAGTTGCTAGGTTTTAAACAGTTTACAGACATTTAAAATTATTTACCTCCTGAATTTACTAACTTTGAGCTTTCCTTTCCTTGTTGTTAAGCCAAGAGCCTGAATAGGGACTTGATAATGCTAATAAGTGTGTTTTACTAATGTATATGAAACAACTTATCACAGAAATAGGTGAAATTTCCTCTTTGATGGCAGATAATGTTACTTGATTTTAATGTAAAAATTTAGACACCACAATAAGAAAAGGATGTATTTCTAATGTCAAGTTTAAGATGTCTTTGTCTTCCACTCAGCGCACGACGTCTCAGTTAAGTGTAGACAGTCTTTCAAGTCAAACCAGTGTTGGCAGCCTTCCTTCTCCTAGTTTACCAGGGACGCCACGCATACCCTCACTTTCAGCGAGTGTATCTTCAGCTAGTCTCGGTCCTCCAGTCAAAGATGAGCCACAAGCAGAGTGTGTTGCAGAAACCACGACCAGTTTCATGAGTAGAGGGGAATCTTTAGGTAATTTATTATTATAAAATTTATCAAATGTAGAAAGAAACCATAAAATACACTCATGTAACCCTCTGAAAATTTAAAGCTATTAATAATTTTGTATTTGCTTTGTATGAAGTACTGTAATTCTATACTTATTAAAGAGTTTGAATAAGTATGAGTGTTGTTCTCGACATTTGTTGTTCATTCACATTTAGTGAGAGACGTCAGTAATGATTAATTGTTGGTATGTTCAGCTCAGGATGAGAGCAGTGGCAGCAGTGAAGGCCATGACACCAGCATTGGCTATGAATCGGAGATGCGAAGTGATGTTGATTCTGGAATTCAAGCCAGCATAAAGTATGTTGTTTTATCTTTACAGTGTAATTGTTTTATTCAATTCTTGTCATACAGCAGAAGCCTGCACTTAATGTTTCTTGTTCTTCAACTCTTTACTTGTACAGTAATTTTGTATACTACAGTACAGTGTGAACTCGCTAAAGGTAACTGCATGGGAATGAAAATGATTCATATCATAGAGGATTTCATTTGAACTATCAGGCCCTTGGCAATTGTTAACTCCTCAAGTGAAACAAAAAAAAAGGACTTTTTTAGAGAGGGCCTACAACTACTGTAATGCATATACAGGTTTCTTGCCATACAATGAGAGTAATGTAGTGAAATATCTTCATAATAACCCTGAAGCACCTTTGCAGATTTAGGTAAATATGAAACCATCATAACCACCCTTTGTCCAACATATAATTAATAACTTACATAAAATTAATATAATTTCCCTGTCAAATGCATATACATATTCATACACACACACACATATATATATATATATATATATATATATATATATATATATATATATATATATATATATATATATATATATATATATATATATATATATATATATATATTAATATAATATACACATATACATGCACACACACACATACACAACCAAAACTGTCAGTGGTTTCAAAGTTCCAAAGCATTATGTGACAGAGAGTACTGATAAGACGGGACACCACAAGCGTAGCTCTCATCCTGTAATTACACTCACACTCTTACTTGTATTCATGCACATATACATACTTCTTAAAGAATTGGTTATGAATGAACTAAATTTACCAGGTAAATTACAGTTTGTTTAATTTGGTCATTTATGTGGGAAAAACCTGCTGGGATTGATATAAGAGGAGACTACCAGGGACTTGTACTGAACTAAATTAAAAAATTACTGTCTGCAAATTAATTCAATTAAAATCTCTAGCTAGGGTTGTAAATCCTAGATCCTCTTTTCCTAATGACAGATTGTGGGCTGTAAGGGACAGGTGGGGTGAATGACTTAGTTGATAGAAGTTCCAATCCACCTGTAGACAGGGATCTCACATCAGCTTGTATTTTATACAAGGATAAGATTTGATAAATTCAGTTGTATGACTGAACACTGGCTCTGTTTAAATCAGGGATTTAAACGTACATAGTCTAACCTAGCACCATAACTTAACAGCCAATATGTACTTATACTATAACCAACAAATTAAATTGTAAAAGTATAATAAATGACCTTAAATGTAGTCTAAATACTGTTAAGTACTAGAAATTATATTCAATTAAATGAACTTATATGATAACTTAAAAATAACTAAGCAAGCTATTGATAACTTAATTTATATATTCAAATATATATGCAGACATATTCACTTTATACAGTTAGCTTGACTGAATCTCTTCCAAGACTGTGGACACTTGTGAGGTTTTTACTTATTGAGGCTGAATTCTTTTCTGACAGAATGGACACTCATGAGGTTCAGTGCTTGGATAAGATTCACAGCTACACTACAATTTTAATAAACGTACCGATATGTGAGGCTTAGCCTCGCTTTTTAACCAACAGACAGATTTATAGGATATTAAAGCTACACAAGCATACAATTGGCCAATCATATACCAAATAACCTTCAATATACTTCTCTGCCAGTCGGGGTGCCTGTCTGACAAGTTTGCCAGACTGATTAACTCTCTCTTGTTGAGTTTAGGCACGATATTTTGCTACAGCGTTGCTGTATGATGATCTGGTAGCGTTGCTACGTGATTATCCTGCAGTTGCAGAAGAATGATTCGAGATAAAAGTTTATGAATGAAGGTGGAGGAAACCGTGTCACTGATCTCCACTATACACTCTATTTTATGTGAATGTTCTAGGATTTTCCTTGTAGATATTGTCCAGGTACTCCCCCAGTTCTAGAGAGTATTCACTGGCGATAAAAATGTTAAATAAGGTGTCCTTGAGCTGGTAATGTTCGCTAAGGATCAGTCACTTGTTCACTCATTTGTAAACAAACGCGGAGTCCCGCTGGGCTTGTTGGTGGGCGCTTCACTCCCCCCATCGCCCTGCCATGCTCTCTGTGCACGGTAGCCTTCTATGAATATTGATTGATTATTTTTACAGTCTAGACTTATTATTGAAATAAGATGTGATTATAATATAATTAGATATAAGATTTAAAGATTATAAGTAGTATTTGAAAGTACCACTGATTCTTATTAAGGATTCGATTTTTAATCCTACCGGATGTTGAATCAATGTTCCAATAGTTTTTTAATTAAGAAGTCCTTCTAGAAGCTTCTGGATCCTTGAGAAATCATGTACAAAGTCACGTAGGCATCAAAAGGGCCCCTGTTGCGTACGTGTTCATGGTGCCATTGTCATCCAGGATCAAGCTATAATGAATCTTTAATGATTCAAATATGATTTTGATACGATTTAGATATGATTTTGATATGATTTAGATATGATATAGAAATTATACATTTCTTAGATGATTATTAGATATGGTGGGTAAAAATTTCCCACATCTTCCAGAGGGAGAGAACTGGCACAGAGTCCAATACTTAGGACAATAGTAACCATATGTATTTATTTACTCTCCATTGGATTGATAATACAAGTGCAGATTTTTCTTGCACTTTTCTGCTGCTGTCCGTTGTGGACGATTGTGTCTGTTAGGAGTCTGTGGGTCTTGTGGAGTTAGAGTGTCTTGAGGTCTCTCAGGATCTAACTGCAGCTGGCTCACTGATTCCATGTGGATGAGTTTGTCCAATGTCTTCAGGGAAGTTGCTCCTTTAGACAGGATTTTGACTATTCTCAAAATCCCCTGACTATCTGGATGGACTGAGACAACTTTACCTAATGGCCAGTCAGCCCTAGGGCCATCACTGTCTACCAAGACAATATCGCCAGGTTGGAGATTAGCTATATTATGGGGACATTGGCCCCATAGTGATGTTCTCGTAGAGATGTAAGATATTCTTTTGTCCAAACATCATTCCATTTTTGGATTATGCTGGACAGATGTTTATACCCCTGAACCAACTCGCTCTGACCCACATATGAGGGATCTCTGATCTCATCATCCACTAGAGATGGTACTGGAGTCAGAAGTCTTCCATACATTAGGTGGGCAGGACTTAATGGCTCATGTTGAGTAGGATCCTCAGACAAGTAAGTCAACGGCCGGTTATTCACCCTTGATTCTATTTCCGTGATTACTGTCTGGAGCTCTTGAAGATTGATTTTCTGACGGTGTAGAGATTTTCTCAAGGATCTTTTTACAGTTCCTATTAACCGTTCATAAAATCCTCCGTGCCATGGGGCTCTCGGAGGGATAAATTTCCATCTGCAATGACGCTGTTCCAGTGTGGAAGTAACTGCAGGATGGGAACAGATTTCCCGTAGACATGCTTCTCCAGCTACCAAGTTTGCTCCGTTATCTGAAATCATCAGCTTAGGGCATGATCGGCGTGCTGCGAATCTGCGGAAAGCTTGAATAAATGATTGAGCAGTCATATCGGGTGTTACCTCTAGATGTACTGCCCTGGTGGTAGCACAGGTGAACAGACAGATGTATGCCTTGATAGGTTGCTTATCTGCAGTCCCTGTTAGATATATTGCTCCTGTATAATCTACTCCTGTCGTTTCGAAAGGTTGTAGATGGACCACTCGTTCCTTTGGCAGGGGTGGTGGCCCTGGATAAGAGCAAGTTCTTGCATCGTACCTTCGGCATATCATGCAATTCTTCAAGATTGATTTGACTGACTGTCTTCCCTGAGGAATCCAGTACTGCTGTCTGATTTGTGTGAGTGTGTCTAACACTCCTCCATGTTTGATGATTTGTTGATGTGTATGCAACACAATCAACCTTGTGATCCAATGATTTTTTGGTAAAAGCCATGGATGCACGGTATCTAGATTGATATCTGCGTGTTTAAGTCTCCCTCCACAACGCAGAATGTTGTGATTTTCTTGGTCTATCCACAGACCGAGATTGTGTTTTAACTTATGTGGAAGATTTTCATAGTTATTCCCATAAGTTTCTCTCTGGGCTTGTCTTACCCAATAGATAAGTGCATCTGGAAAAGTGTATTTTATACCTTTTTTCCTGAGATATTGAAACACGTTCTGTGTTACATTGATTAATTTGATGAGCGAGGAGTAACGAGTACAATCCAAGACTGATATTTGAGCTTGCTGCCTGGTGGTAGTTATGGTTTGTGTCGTAATGACGTGTGGCTTTTGTTCAGGCCAACTACCATTCACTAACCATCGAGGCCCATGAAACCAAATATCTGCCTTTGCAAACTGTTTAAATGTCATACCTCTTGATAAGAGATCAGCTGGATTATCCTTTGTTGGTACATGCAACAATTGAAAGCCTGCGGAAATTTCTTTAATTTCCGAGACGCGATTTTTTACATATGGAGTTGGACAGTTGTCGTTTCGTACCCATTGTAAGACAGCTTCATTGTCAGACCATATAATGACATCTTTGATGTTCATGGTAGACAAGACTTGTTTGATATGCACAGCTAAGCGTGTACCAGTTAGCAGTGCTGTTAGTTCCATCTGAGGCAAAGTCCTCTTTTTTAATGGGGCGACTCTGGCCTTAGAGGTGATAAGATATGATTGATTAGAAGTCACTAAGTAAGCACAAGCTCCAAAAGCTTTGGCTGACGAGTCTGCGAATACATGTAGTGATACTTCTTCATTTTCCTCGACTATGTGTCTCGGAAAGATTATCTTTTCAACTAAAGTTTGTTCTTGAGCCACTTCCATCCAAGCTTTTTGTAACTGGATTGGTAGTGGATCATCCCAACCAACCTTAGCTTTCCATGCTTGTTGCACCAATAAACGCCACTTGATAGTCAAAGGATTTAGTAGACCAAGTGGGTCGAATACTTTGCTAACTTGTGAAAGCAAATCCCTTTTTGTAGTGATGTTGTAATTTACTGGCACAGATTTGATCGATATTGTGTCCGAGATTAAATCCCAATCCATACCT